CATGCACTGGGGCGGTTTGCAGTCGAGTGTAAAGCCGCTGGGATGAGAATTAGCACCTCTAAGTCCGAGGCCATGGTTCTCGACCGGAAAAAGGTGGTTTGCAACCTCTGGGTTGGGGAGGAAGTCCTGCTTCAGGTGGAGGAATTTAAGTATCTTGGGGTCTTGTTCACGAGTGACGGTAGGATGGAACGGAGGTTGACAGGCGGTTGGTGCAGCGGCCGCAGTAATGCGGTCGCTGTATTGGTCCGTTGTGGTGAAGAAGGAGCTGGGCCAAGGGCAAAGCTCTCGATTTACCGGTCGATCTACGTTCCTACCCTCATCTGTGGTCATGAGCTCTGGGTCATGAGCTCTGGGTCATGAACGAAAGAAGGAGATCCTGGATACAAGCGGCTGAAATTAGCTTTCTCCGTGGGTGGCAGAGCGCTCCCTTAGAGATAGGGTGAGGAGCTCTGTCACACGAGAGGAGCTCAAAGTAGAGCTGCTGCTCCTCCACATCGAGAGGAATCAGCTGAGGTGGCTTGGGCATTTACATCGCATGCCCCCCGGACGCCTCCCTCGGGAGGTGCTCGGGTGCTGTCCCTCTGGGAGGAGACCTAGGGGAAGACCTAGGACACGCTGGAGCGACTATGTCGCTCGGCTGGCCTGGGGGCCCCCCCGAAGAACTGGAGGAAGTGTCGAGGGAGAGGGAAGTCTGGGTGTCCCTGCTCAGACTGTTCCCCCCGCGACCCGGCCCCGGATAAGCAGTTGATGATGGATGGATGGATGGATGGATATATGTTTATATAATACAAAAAAGCACACTAAAATGTAGTCAATGTCTGCATCTTAGCAAAGATGCTTATATATTGCTGATCTTTTATTTATTATTTTTTAGAAGAGTGGCCCTTTTAAGGAAATTTAATTTCCAGTACGATTGCCCATTTCTATTCATATGAATAATGCACATAAAATTTGAGCTTGGTCTTGTTTCAGGTTTGTCAAAATGTGTTTTTCTTTTTTCTAATTGTTTAATCATTTTTCGTATGCATTTGTATTGTGGATCAGATGGAAGACTAGTCAGGTGAACAAGGTGGAGTTTACCTGCAAACACACTCACCCAGTATGATTTAACTTTAAATAAACTATTCAATAAAGGAAAAGAGTTTTTCAACCCTTCAAATAAAAACAGCATTAAAGGACTTTGACCTGGCATCTAAGGCGGTGAGTGTTCGGATTTTTTAAAATTTTGCCCTCCGAAAAGGCTCAACAGGAAGTACACTGAAGCTATAACTCGTGTTTATCCTTGGTCTTCTTTTATTTATTTATTTATTTTCAAATGACCACAGGTGACCACAGGTAACCACAGGTCATAAACCTGAAATGAGTGAACCAAACATAACAAGTTACATGCAATAGTATTAATGAAAATGTAAATAACAAATTTACAATAAACAAACATTAACTAGTTTAATACATACCAGTCCAATGTTTCCTTATGAAATTAAAGTAATAAATAGCAGCAAACACTCTAACCTAAACCAGTGTCTTGGTCAACATTAATAGCTATAGACAAAAGACTTGTCTAAGTGCTAACCTGGAAAGCTAACAGAGTTAACCAAGTATATTAATAGAGCTAGCGGCGATGCTAACGCGAGCTAGCGTGCCAACGGCGAGCTAACGCGCTAACCGCGAGCTAGCGCCAACCATGAGTGCTAAATAACAAACATATTTTAACATCACATTTTTAGGTTAGCTTGACAGTGCAACACATTATACTATTAAATCATACATTATATAGTTTAGCTACTAACAACTTACCAATGGGCTATGTGCTTCCGTTAAACCCTGAATACACCTGCCGTGAACAACTGCACAGGAAGCAACACTGACTTTCCAAAATAAAATGAAGCGCTTTAAATAACCACCAAAGTCTTGACAGTGAGATATGTTTCTGAGATATGTGATCATGTGACAGTCTTACAGTCTGCAATGTTAGAGAGACAACAGTTTTCAACTGCAGAACTCTTTTATTCTAACAAAAACTGAAAATAACATTTACAGTTAAATTAATGACATTTTGCCCAAATAAAGTGCTTACAATAAAATACTCCTCACCATGTTGGTCCTCAATATGTGGACGTCTTGTGGTGGATATCATTTCATGTGACTGTATTGTTTCTGCCACTTGTGGAAGAGAGACCTACAGTAAAGATACTCTGATCAAAGGCTCTTTTTAACAGGTCCAGGATCTGTTTGCCCTCAGTGGAGTCAGGGAGGTAGGCCATACGAGACAGGCCTATGTATGGCAGACCGGGGTTAGGGTGCTCGTCCTGGAGATGGAGAAACAAAAGACACCACACCTCTGTTTTACTACACTCATCAGTCGCTTCTTTAAGATATTATTTGTGTGTAATAAGCTTGCTTTCAAAAATATCTATCTGCAAAAAAAAAATCACATTTTTCAAACAGAGCAGCAAGTTTGTTCTAATTTCAGAATGTTAATAGAGTCAAATCATGGGGATTACTGATAGTTAGCTAATCTCAGTTGGGTTTTTTTGCCCAGTAGTTTTAATATTGGGGAACACTAAATGTTTTCTCTTTGATCCTCTAAATTTTTTAATCCAGTTTTGGACCAGATTCACCCGGTGGACCGCCATTTGATGATCACTGATATATAATGTCAATCGGAGTAGTCATGTCTTGTGTAGAAGACTATTCATACCAGTGAGAACAGACTGTTCCACTTTGTTCTGTAAGCTTTTTGTGTCCCATGTCTGTATATATATATGTATATATGTATATATATGTATCTTACCTCCATGTTGCAGACGTAACCCGACTTATGACTTCCTTTCACTTTCTGCTAAATGTTGTTGTCCCTATTCTCTCGCCTTCTTGCGATCCCCGCTGGTGTATTAAGAAACTACATTTAGATCTTTTTGTGTTTGCAGAAAGATGTTGATTATAGTTAGTAAACAAAATACAAAACCATTTGTTACATATATGCAATGTTGGGCACGTTAATTTGAAAAAGTAATACATTTTAGTTAGTTACTTCTCCCAAAAAGTAACTGAGTAATTGAGTTACTCCACTATAAAAGTAACTAGTTACCAGGGAAAGTAACTATTGTATTAGGTAAGTTTAAAAATGTAGAGTAGAAAAGCAAAGACAGGTACATAAACAGAGGTTTTAATTTATTGCACCTCAACAGACCACAACTGGTACAACTGTTTTCTTCTTCACAAAAGTAAACATTTTAACAATATGAAGTGCTTTTAACTCACTGTGGTGTAAATTAAATGAATCAAACTTTTACAACTTCAGACAACTGTAAAGTAAACAGTTTAACAGTGTGAGCTTAACAGTAACATATTTTTTCACTGTATACCTGTCTATGTTCTACCTCAAACATTTATTAATTCAGTGAATCTGAAATGGATTCAGATATCAAAATATCATGGTGAAAACGACAGTCATGAATGGAGATTGAGTTCTGATCCTAAGATTTGAAATCCTAAAGAAGTAGGTCTGTGGAGTTTCTCTTGTGCTCTTTTGCACAAAGTGCTTTAAAGAAAAGTAAACAGTTTAACAGAAGTGCTTTTAAAATTGTACTGAAAATGTATATGAATTTGTTGAACAAATCCAACTTTAATTCCTAAACATTCATTCATCTATCTATCCATACACTCCTTCCTAACACTCATCCATCCATGCATGCAATCATTCAACCACCCAGCCAACCCAGTCATCTCACCATCTTAGTCATTTAACCAGTGATTGTATTTAGAAAATGTCTTTCTGCACGGTGGATCGGCTCCTCCTCTCTGAAGGAGTCTGAATCAACTGTTGACATCAGTAACGTGCGGTGAGGTTCATGGCTGGTGAGGCACTGACTCCTCTGGAGTCAGATTTACAATTGTAAGAACTGAAAAGAGCATCTTATTTCACTATTCCTCCAACAGCATGCACCTGGTAATGCTTTATATCCATCAGCATTCCTCTTTCAATTACACTTACACCAACACAAACATAAACACAGGAACATATTAATAGATAATAATAAAGCATCCTTCTTGTGTCTAAGAAATTCATATTTACTGTAAACAAATTCAAGTATAGTGATGAGGGCAGCACAAATTTAATTTTGACCTTCGGACGCCCCCTTGAGGTGACGCTGAGTACTGCCTGCTTCCCCTGCTGACTTTTCTCTGCACTTGTACGATCAGCAGAAACATCAATCATGCTGCATAACAAATATTTCTGTAAAGTTCATATTGGCGATATGCTGAGGAACAGAAACGGGCATGCGTCATTTACTTATATTTGGAACACACCCTTCATTTCATTTTATTAAATAAATAACACACCATAATGAGTCATTCACAGTTTATTCATAGTGTGTGTGTTTGGATTTATAAAGACATAAAAGAAACAAAAGAAACATTGCAGCCACAACAGATTTATGAAAAGACACTGATTGTTACAACAGAAAAACCAATGGTCAGAGAAAAACAGTCTTCATTCAGAGCAAACACATTTTATTTCCAGCACTTTATTCTGACAAGTTGCCGTTTTCGTTATGAACTTTACTGTGGAGCGACCAGGAACACTCAGAGAGCTTCCAGCTCACCTCCTGTGTGTCATACACCTCCTGGTGATCCAAAAGCCCAAATGAATGGTCAACCACTTAAATAAAAAACAGTAAATAACCATGGCTGTTTATATTGCTCTCTGTTCCTCTCTGTACCTTCTTCCAGATGGGGATTTTGGCCTTCAGCTGACTGATGCAGTGCTGGATTGCCTGATGGCCATCATGGCGATGAGGAGATGAAATTGCCATGACGACACTAGCTTCACGTACTTTCACCCACCTGAGGGGAGAAGTTGCTGATGAGTTTTACGTGTGACAAGTTCCAAATGGGATAATTCACATCCAGGTATGATAATGACTCCACCTGGTGGTGGTATTCCCTGCAGCTAGTTACCAATGAGAAGATGCTGGCAGTTTAATGATAATGTAAAAAAAAATGACTGGGCTTAATTTGATTATGAGTTATATTCAATGTAGCCCTTGTCTATCTGGAATTTACAACCGGTAGATCAACCCTCAGTTGAATAGTGACAAAACTGCTGAGTCATGGCTGGGGATACTTTTTGGAAACAGGATAATTTAATTCATCTGTTGCAGTGTCAGCACTTCACCCCAGCCTGTGGTGAACACAGATGTGCACCACAGTCGGCCAGCACTGTCTGATGTCAGCACAAACTTTTACGAACTTTGATTGGGCCATGAGCTCATACGCTTCATACTCCAGACCCACTAAAGTTATCACAAAATAACGTGAAAGTTATCACGAAATACACTGGTCCGTCTCCTATCGTAGTCGTTGCTTTTCAAGACCCAAGAAATGGGAAAATTCGTGTAGTAGAGTCGAGATTGTTATTAATGATTTATGTATATACGTATTTACACTTCACGAACCTCCCTATACTGTTATCAACAGTCGAACAACAACAACAGTGTCCTCCTGTGTTCAACTGAGGTACCTTACATTAATTAAATGCTCACCATATATACAGTACATATGTCACACATGACATGCCGGTGTCTTAGATTTCCCAATTGTACGTACTGTACATGATTTTTTTTTTTAATGTATTATCCTGTTTGTATGTGTGGCAGAATGTCTTATCGTTTATTTAAATACAGTTTTTCCCTTTTAGGCCAGAGGCAGTGGGTCAAACCCTCCCTGAAGCAGGGTGCGTGGCAATGTACAGGAGCATATGTATTTCTCGCAGCCACGGCAGACGGTGTGCATTTTACTTTTTGTAGGGACAGAACTGACACCTCTTACTCGCGGGGAGGCGGTCTTTTACGGGAGCACCGGAAGCCGGTGCCGAGGAAGAAGAGGGACAGGCGACACGGCCTCTAGCCGCAAGCCTGGCGGTTTTTACGATAGAGGCTGCGGCTTCCACACGCGAAAAGCGAGTCCGCCGTCCGATTAGCGGAGCGTCCAGCACCTTGCCCAGTTCCGCCAGGAACACCCTCCTCCTGTTGCGCAAACGGGGCATCCATCCAGGATGCCCCTGCCCCTTTCCCTTTCCCCTTCCGTTTCTCCTTCCTCTTTTTCCCTCGGTTCTCCCAGTGCGGGGCCGTCCGAAGAAGTGGGCTTCTCAGTGTATATCTGAAGCTTCCAAGTGTAGCTGGATCGTGAGTCGCAGGCAACCCAAGTCTATATCCCGTACCTGGCAGGCTTGCTCAGCATGTACTGTCTAAAGGGACACCGGCCTTTTGGCGGATCACAACTCACGGCTTAGGCTTACATGGGAGCGAGAGAGAGAGAGAGAGAGAGAGAGAGATTTTAAATACACCAGAATTATACACAATACATAAAGTTACTATTAGCCTTACCTCTGAACGGAACAAGTTGCTCGTCCACAGTGACATGGAGCCCGGGATTGTACAGGAGCGGTTTGTCCGCCGCGCTTCTCTCAGCTCTCGACTCGCGATCGTCGAACCACACCAGCGTCCAGTACACGTGAAAGACTTTGTGCGACATAGTGGCGCGGGCCTCACCTCGCGACCTGTACACTCCAGCTAGGATGAGCAGCCCCATGTAGGCGTGCAGGTCGTCCTCGTCCATCCCCCGCCACCCTCTCTTCCATATTTCCTGAGACCCTGGCGATTAGTCTCCTCCAGGATAATTTTGGCTATCTCCGGCGTCAGGAAGAGATAGAACGTAGAAAGTATGTTCCGGGCGTTGGTAACCACATGGGCGGTGGGCCTTGGGGGCCAGGGCTGCTGCCGCAGCGACTTCCGCGCTGGCAAACTTTTGCAGGGTGCAGAGTACCACGTTATTTCCCCGTTTCCTGACACGAACGATTCTCGTGCGACGCCAGTGTTCTCCCGTTCCCCCCATCCTGCTTCCCGTCCTCCTCCTGGCATTTTGTATTTGTCGTTTTCTGAGGACGATGCTACGTTTTCTTCTAATTCTTGTTCTTCTTCTTCTTCATCTTGTATTTGCTCTTCTTAATCTTCACCGTATTCTTGTTCTTGTTCTTAATCTTGTTCTTCTTGTTCTTCTTCTTCATGTCTCT